GAGAGAGAGAGAGAGAGAGAGAGAGAGAGAGAGAGAGAGAGAGAGAGAGAGAGAACGAACTCCAGGACCTCTTCTTACAAGGACATACATCCTCCATCCTCACCATCCTGTCTAACTGTTCTTCCCTGTCAAGGCCACCCAAATTGTGGTATTTTATTGTGAATATTCAAGCAGACAGACAAGACAGTCACCCGTGTGGTCTTGGAACAGATGTAGGAAGCATCTCATTTCACACCACAGATGGTGGCAGCAAATCACATTCAGTGGTGATACACATCGGTGGTCACCTTCCAGACACAGAGATGAGACTTTCTTCTGTTAACCATCACCTGGACCTTCAACCCTCATCCACTTGCTTTCTCTACAAACCGAGAGTCATTTTCCAAATACACATAAGGTTGTGACATGTTAATGTCTAGTATACTGGTCCTGTGAAAAGGTGAGTATAAACCTATTTCTAAGGAGCTATTTCATGGGCTTTTATTACTCAAAATCATCAGAACAAGAAAAAAAATGTATTTGAGAAGTGGACATGCACCACACATTGTGAGTGCAAAGGGAACATACTCCAACACCTACAGGAGGTCACCCAACAGGAACCCGAGCCAAGCATATGAGCAGGAACAGAAAACTTGGGTGTGCTCCAGCAAGGACATCAGTAATACTCATCTTCTTATCAGTTTATGACAGAACAAAAAGATTTCTAGACTTTAGCTTCTGGGGGAAAAGCTGACAACTAAATGGGAAGAAAAGAGGGATACTATGTGTCTTCCTGAGACAGGTGGAAGACATAAGCTTTGTGTGAAGTTCTGTTAAGTAATCAAGTGTGGGTGGTGGGAGGGATGAAGTGTATTTGAAATAATTTTTACTTAAAGAAGCAAAGAAATTCTGCGGTTTGGTCTAAGGAATAGTTATTTTAAATAATGGTTCTGTAGGTGCCTTCTTGCATCCTAAGGCTCCTGGGAGCTGGGAGAGGACGTTAGGAGGACCATGTGTTAAAGTGGAAGGTCAGCAAAGGTGGGGAGGGGGGAGAAAGGGAGGGAGGGGATAGAGAGACAAAGGGGGGGGCTGTGTTACGTTGTTCTGACAAAGCCGTATCTAGGAGCATGTGTGTATTAGATTATTGCTTGTGTAAAAAGGAGGTCCTGATGCCCCCGAAAGTGTGTAGGAGAGACTAATGACCTATGTGGAAGACAGTGAGTGGTTAGAGGGATAAAACAAGGGCTTGGCTACTCCACGCTCTTTGTTAACTGAACAATTTGATTATACTCACTCAAAAACAAACAAAATTTGAATTTTCATAATTACAGCACAAAACAGTTCATCAAATTCAGTTAAGACTTTTGCACAATCCTATTGGAGTTTCGTTATTTTATTATTTGAGGGAAATTAATATTTATATGATATGCATTTCAATTTGTTCAGAATTGACTTTGCCAATAAAAAGTTAGAATGCTCCCATACTAGGGGAGAAAATGGTGAAGCACCTTTAATCCTAGAGAGGCAGAGGCAGGTGGATCTCTGAGTTCCAGGCTAGCCTGGTCTACAGAGTGAGTTCCAATACAGCCTGGGCTACACAGAGAAACCCTGTCTCGAAAAACAGGGGGCGGGGAGAAGATTCCCAAAGTATGGTTTTCTCCCCAACAGTGTCACTGAAAACTTATCAGAAAGGCAAAGTCCCCCACCTTATTCCAACCCCGCAGACCCAGGAGCTTGGAGCAGTCTGTCTTAACAAGCTGTCCAGAGGGTGAATGCTCACATTCTAGAACTCTTAAAGTAACATAGTGTCTTTCCTTCCTTCACAAATTGGGATGGCTCAAGTAAGCCACTAAAATCACATCCACTTCTGAGATCCATGAAGCCTAACAGGAAGCTAAAAGTAAAGGATGCAGCCTTGGGGCTCAAGAAATCACACCCCAATTCAGAAAAAATTGCATTGCACAACATTCTTTCTATGACGATCTGGTCTCTCTCACCAGAAGTGATTTGGATCCAAAAGAGATTCCAGATGGAGTTTAACAAAATGATTCTGTTAGATGATCATATTAAAACTCTTTAGTACATTTTATAAAAATGAGAATTGGACCAGAGAGAGATGGCAAGGATGGTGGTCTCAATACCATGGCAACCTGCCACGTCTATGAAAGCTAAAATCTGTATCTCATCATCTTTCAGAGCAAAAACCCTAAAGTGAATCATGAACTAGGATAAAGCACTGACTTTGATCTCTGTTATTGCTGGGAACCGGTTTTCTTACTAAATTAAACATGATTAAATATATTCTTTTCTCTCCAACTCTGAAGGCATGTACAACAAGGGTTCACAGCTGTTTTCTTGAGAAATTGTGAAAAGCCTAAGATACTACTGCACACAGTTCTGTTCTGATTCCTACAAATGCCCCAGAAAAAGAGAAATCTGTGAAAACAAAATAACAAGGATAGTGAACTGTTTTTTTTAAATAGCTTTACTTAAAATTTAAAATGTGTCTCAAAATTTTTTCAAGTAGGGAACTCATTCGTTAAGAGTGCTTAGCACTCTTCAGAGGACACAGGTTCAGTTCTCAGTACCCATAGCAGGCATCAACCACCCATAATGCAAGCTCTGGGAGAATCTGATACTTCTGGCTTCCATGAGCACTCCCCTGTATACACACAAAGAAACAGTATATTTTTTTTAAAAAATGATCAAGTCTCAGGGATGGAGAGATGGCTCAGCAGTTAAAGTCACTGCCTATTCTTCCAGAGGACCCAGGTTGGATTTCCAGCTCACAACCATATGTAACTCCAGTCCAGGGGATCCAACACCCTCTTCTGTCTACTTCAGGCACCCAGCATGTGCATAGTACACAGACATGCATGCAGGTAAAGCATCCATGCATGTAGATACAAAAAAAAAATTATCAAGTATCAATTCGTATCAAGTGTGCAGGGCTAAAACTTCAGATTATACCAAATGTAATGACAAGTAAGGCTCTCCCTCCCACCCTGGACTCAGCTCCTTCCCCTTGATGTGATATTTAACAGTTTGGGGTATACCCTTCCACAAATGGATACAGTGCTCATGTACTTATTTGTTTCATTTTATTTTTCTAGTGATGTAGTAATTTGCTCATCTTTATCAATAAACTCCAATTATCTTGTGCAACAGAACAAACCTGTCTAAAGCTTCGTAGCTTAACAACTGTGTCTCTTCACATGCTTTCTGTAGACCAAGAATTCAGACAAACTCGGGAGAGTTCTGGCTCCTTCCCAGTCTAATGGAGGATGGAGCTACAACTAACTAAGAGCTGGCTGCTAGCTTTCTGTTTTATGTTGACCCAACAGCAGCCCAAAGTGGTCAGTTCTTTCACATGAACAAGTCTAGGTTAATTCACAGCTAATCAGAGCCTGTGGTAGCTAGACACTTCACTCACCATGTGCTGGTTTTCCCAACAGTGAGATGGAAGTTATACTCTGATATGTGCTCTAGCTTCCAAGATCTATTAGCTGGCTAGGCTTAGTCCAGTTACTTGCAATGCTGAGGGGCAAAGAAGTGGCAATTTCAAGGCCCACCTGGGCTTCAGTGAGCCCAAGGCCATCTGG